TATCCCCATTGCCATATTCCCGTTCCCATATTCCCATTCCCGTTCCCATCCCCATATCCCCATTCCCATTTCCATCCCCATATCCCCATTCCCATCCCCATATCCCTATCCCAGTATTCCCATTCCCGCTCCCGTCCCCAATTCCCCTCTCCCGCCCCGCCTGTCCCTCTCCCCGTCACCGCCAGGCGGCGCCCCCGCCCGGCCCCGCCCCCTCCGGCCCCGCCGCGGCCCGCGCGCTCCCGGCGCCCCCCCCGCTGCCCGAGCCCCGCTCTGCGCGCTGCCCCCGGCCCGGCCCGGCCCGGTCCCGGTCCCGGTGCGGCCCGCTGGGGGCGGCGCGGGGAGCCGGGGGTGGTGGGGGGGGGGAGCCGGGGCTCGCCTCTCACCTCGCTCGGCGCGCCGGGTCGGGCCCGCGCGCGCGCGCGCGCTCCCGGGCCCGCCGTGCGCACGCGCCGGGGCGGGGCGCGCGCCCCCTGGCGGGACCGGCGCGCGCCGCAGGGGCCGCGCCGCCCCGAGCGGGGCGAGGGGGACCGGGAGCGAACCGGGCCGGGACCGGCGCCGGCACCGGCACCGGGACCGGCACCGGGACCGGCACCGGCACCGGGGCTGGGCAGGGACCGGGGTCGCGCGGCCGGTGCCGCTGCCGCCCGGGGTCCCGCGGGGAACAGCCCCGGACCCCTCTGACCGCCCATCACCGGAGCCCCGCTCCTTCCCGGGGCGGCTCGGTCACCGGAGCCCCGCTCCTTCCCGGGGCGGCTCGGTCACCGGAGCCCCGCTCCTTCCCGCAGCCTCCCCGGCTCCTGGCGCTGCCCGGCCCTCGGGGTGGCGAAGGGCGGATTTCCACGGGGAAAGGGCTCCCGTGGCACTGCCGTGTGAAGCAGCTACGGGAGGAACTGGTCCTGCGGGGGATTAGAGCTGGATGTAACGGGGAATCCCGGAGTGGTGTGCGTGGGGAGGAACTTCAGCATCACCCAGTGCCACCCCTGCCATGGCAGGGACGGATTCCGCTGCCCTTGGACACTGCCAGGGATGTGCAGCCTGTGCCAGGGTCTCCCCACATCTCCTTCCCGATATTCCATCTAACCCTGGCCTCTGGCAGCCTGAAGCCATTCCTCCTCGTCCATCCATGCTCCTTGTCTGAACTATTTACCAACAAGATTAAAAATGCTGGCAGTTATTCCCTTTTTCTTTTGCCCAGGCACGTGCAAAAAATGGGAAAAAAAATTGAGGATTTGGGAGAGGCAAATGTACGGAATGTCAATTAAATGTTTATTGCTTCTGCTAACAGGTTTTTCCTGCATCTGGGAATTAGGACTCTGGGTGGTTAATGGAAGGAATCAGCATGTGGGAATCTGGTTCCTGCTGTTCCCAGGAAAGGTGATGCATCTGCAAGGTAAGAATGCTGTCCTGAATCCTGCAGCTTTCCGTGGACTTCAGATATTTCAGTGTTGAGGGTTTTCCTGTTATGCCCCTGGCATGGGAGTGAAAAAATATTTATGAGGAACATTGAAAATCCGTGGAGTCTTACAGGATTTTCAGGCCAATGTTTTAGTGACACGGTGTCTCCAAAACCACAGCCTCCTGATGGCTCCTGGAGGGAGCAGTGACAGGAAAAATCTTTTTTTCTGGAGCCTGCTCCAGTGGTTTCCAGCTCAGCAGAGCCCTGAAGGTGCCCCCAGCCCATGGCTGCTCCATGGCACGTGTGAAACGGCTCCAAAGGGTCTCAGCTCAGCTCCCAAAACTGCACTCCAGGAAGATCCAAGGGGATACTCTGGAATGAACTAAGTGCTCACACGCTGCTACTCAGAGGTTTTAGCAAATGAAGCAATTTTCATTTGCTGTTTGAGATTATTTGCTGGTAATTTCTGCTCGCCTGCAGCCCAGTGCGGGAGTGCAGGCTGAGCCCCAGGTGAAACAGTGGTTTTGGGGCAGAAATCAGTGGGAGCATTTTCAGGCCTCTCCCTGCCCTTGGTGGGATTTCTGGGCGCTGTTGGGTGGAGTTTTTTTGTGGCGTCGGCGTTTTCTGCCTCGGACACACGGTGGCGATGGGAATCGCCTTTTCCTCCGGAGCTTGGGGCTTGCTCGGTCACCACACGTGCTGTGTGCCCCCGGGAATGGAAGGATGAACCATTTCTGTTCAATCCCAAATAACCGCTGACATTTCCCAGCGGCCGAGGCTCCAGAGAACCCACAACGCTTTCTCAAAAGCGCTGATGTTACTTAAATGAAAATGTTTATGTTGAAAACAAGAGCCAATGGAGCCTCGAGGGCTGGTGTTTTGCTTTAAAAAGTGATCTGACCTTTCTCTCCGTTCCTTGGCTGCCAGGACACGAGTGGTGCCAGGCTGGCAGTGTCACCGACCCCCTCACCCGGGATGATCTGTCCTGTGTTTGCACTGGGGGTGTCATCAGAGAATGGTCAGGAGAGGTGGAACCAGCACTTGGCGTCACGAGAGGTAAAAACATTTCCCCTGTGTGTTTTGGAGTTTATTTACTAAGGCTAAGCTTCCTGTTTTTGAGAGAACGCAGTGGCACGAGTTCACAGTGCACATGCTTGGGAGTCATGGAATGAGAGTAAATAACCGTGTCCAGCTTTGGAGAGGGACAAGAAAAGGATGTCAGGTGCATTTACCAGCCCCCTTCCAAAGCAGAACGTGGGTATGATTCAAACATTTAAAAGACAACAACTGGAAAGTTGTTTGAACCCTGTGAAACAATTAAAACACAGATTATTCCTGCCCAGACTTGAATCCCAGGATCGTTATGTTGGAACAGACCTCCCAGATCATTGAGTCCAACCTGGCTTCTCACCCAGCCCAGAGTAGTTTAATTTCATGGAATCTCCTCAGTTGGAAGGGACCCACAAGGATCAGCCTCACTTTCCTCCAGCTGATCATTCCACATGCCCCCAGCCTCTCCTCACATGCCTTCCCCTCCAGACCCTTCGCCATCTCCATAGCCCAAAAATGCTCCTTCCAAATCCGTGCTGGACTTTTGGGTGAATGTCTTTAACTTGCTCTTTTCCACGTGTTCATGCCTCTCTTTGCCCTTGAATGGAGGAGGTGCTGCAGGATTTCAGTGTGTGAAGCAATCCCTCCCCCAGCAGTGTTTGGACAGTGTTTGCAGCTGGATGGATGCGCTGGGCTGGGCAGGCAGAGTGCAGGTGCAGGTTTTAGCAGGCCTGGAGCTCTGGGAACAGCAGCCAGGATGAACTCAGCAGCTGTTGTAACCTCCTGGTTTGGTAAGTTCTGTGTGTAGTTATTATCAGTGATTTGGGACCAGCCCCTCAGCAAGCCAATCACTCCCCCTCACTTCTGCAGCAGCAGCTGGGATTTAGCACTGGAGACCATTAACTAACACCCAAAACCTTCTCTTCAGCTCCTTCCTGAAGCACTCAGAGGAGGGTTGTTTGTGTGAAATACACATCTATATCTATGTATTTATCTCTACAGCAGTATAAATAAAAGTGTCCATGCCCAAAGTTTCCAGATTTGGTCCAAGTGGATGTGAGAATGTGGTCTGTTCCCCCAATAATTTTATTAACTACAAGCCCCCAAATTGGCTTTTCTGGGTATTTCTTGCCTGCAGTGGGCACCCATCCCACCAGGTGCAGTTTCCTGCAGTCTCACACCTTCTAACCACTGCCTTGGTGGAAATTCTCTGTATTTGGGAACAGTGGATCCTTGGGGTCCCTGCAGGATCAGCCTGCACAGGTCACCACATCCAGCACTTATACTTGTGTTCCCCGTTCCATTTGTACTTCAGCAGCCCTGTAACAGCTCGGAGCTCAAATAAAACACAAAAACGTGAAAAAAGGCTAGCGGGGTAGTTCTTTAACCCATTGTCCGTCGGCAGAAGGAGCAGCTGAAGGTCAGAGAGGAGCAGGAGGGGCAGTGGCAGTGCCGGCCCTGCTTGGCCGTGCCCTCAGCACCTGTTATCAGCCTGTGCTCCCTGGCAGTGCCCGGGGACAGGCTGGTGTCCCTGCGGGCAGCGCACGGCACGGGCCTGCTGGATCTGCAGCAGGGCACTCCTCTCCTGCCTGCTCTCTGCTCCCGTGCCCTGCCACCTGCGCAGCAGAGCCCTGCCTCGTGTTCAGGTGTGCGGCGGGTCCCGCCTGATTGCTCTTGTGCTGTTGGTGCCACCGAGAAGAGCCCGGTGCAGCTTGGCCCCCCACCACAGACACCGATGGGCGCCGGGGGGCCGCTTGGGGCACCTCGCCTCCAGGCTCAGCAGGCACAGCCCCCTCGGAGGGTTTCCCTCCCAGCAGCGATGCTCTGGTCCTGGGGGTCCTGGGATTCCCGACTGGCCCGGGGGTCCCGGCTGTCCCAGGTGTTTTGGCTGTCCCGGGGGTCCCGGCTGTCCCAGGGGTCTTGGCTGTCCCGGGGTCGCGGGGATCCCGGCTGCCCTGGAGGTCCCGGGGTACCAGGTGTCCCAGGTCCCGGGGGTCCCGGCTGCCCCGGCTGTTCCGGGGGTCGCGGGGGTCTCAGCTGTCCCGGGGGTCCAGGCTGTCTCGGGGGTCGCGGGTGTTTCAGGAGTCCCGGGGATCCCGGGTGTCCCGGGGATCCTGGCGGTCCCGGGGTCGCGGGGATCCCGGGGGTCCCGGGGATCCCGGCAGTCCCGGGGGTCCCGGGGATCCCGGGTGTCCCGGCGGTCCCGGGTGTCCCGGCTGCCCCGGCTGTCCCGGGTGTCCCGGCGGTCCCGGGGGTCCCGGGTGTCCCGGGGGTCCCGGCGGTCCCGGGGGTCCCGGGTGTCCCGGGGATCCCGGGGGTCCAGGCTGTCCCGGGGGTCCCGGGTGTCCCGGCTGCCCCGGCTGTCCCGGGTGTCCCGGCGGTCCCGGGGGTCCCGGGTGTCCCGGGGGTCCCGGCGGTCCCGGGTGTCCCGGCGGTCCCGGGGTCCCGGGGGTCGCGGGTTCGAGCCCGGGCGCGGCCCCGCCCGGCGCTCAGGCCACGGGCATCGCCCCACAGGCCCCGCCCCCGCCGCTCCTCCCCATTGGTCACGCCCCCTCGCCGCGGCCCCGGGCGGCAGCCAATGGGAGCGGCGGGGAGGCGGGGCGCGCGCGGGGCGGGGCGCGCGCGGGGCCCGACCCGAGGTAACCCCGATCACACCACCGGGAGGGGGGCGGGCCCGGGGGGCGGGGCCGCGCGGGCGCGGGGCGGGCCCGGGGGCGGGGCCGCGCGGGGAGCGCCAGGCCGGGGGCCCGCGGCGCCTCCGCTGCACCGGCACCGTGAGGTGAGGGCGGGGCCGCGCCGCCGGCGCGGGCAGCGCGGGCAGCGCGGGGGGCCCGCGGCACCGGCGGCCGGCGGGGCGGAGCGGGGCGGGGCCGGCCGTGCCGCGGGAGATGGCCGGGCCATGCCGTGCCGGGCGGGCGGGACCTGGCCGGGCGCCGCGCCGGCGGGAGGTGGCCGGGCCGTGGTGCCGTGCCGAGCCGTGCCGTGCCGTGCCGTGC